GAAGCAAGTGTCAGCCAGCAGCAGCAGGTGCTTGGCTGCCCGGCCTGCTTTCTCCTTCTCTGCGGCCAGCCGGCCTGTTGCGACTGGGTCCTCCAAAGATAGCCTTGGCCGCCCTTGCCTGCCTGCCTGCCTGCCTGCCTGCCCGCTCGGCCATGGCTGGCATGCAGGATCCTATCGAAGCGGTCGCCGCCGCCGCCGCCGCCGCCGCCGCCTCTAATCCGCTGCTGACTTTGCGCGCTGACTTTGCGCAACCCGGCTCGCTTCGGCAGGTCAGGGCCCCGGTCAGACGTCGTGCGTCTTCCAGGGCGAGCAGCATGAGGGGGGCGCCGCTGTGTGAGAATGAGCATCTACGACGGCGCCCTGCCCCCAGCCTGTCGCTCCTCTTCCAAGCTGCCGTCGTCGTCGTCGCCGTCTAGCAACCTTCCTTCCTCCCGCACCACCATCACCACCACCACCGCCGCCGCCGCCGCCGCTACCCGCACCCGATTCCTCGCCGCCGCCATCAGCACGGCCACTCTTTGTCGGCCCCTCCGACACCTCTGTTTCCGGAGGATCCGATCACGTACGGGTGATCCGGGTTGCTGGTCGCCCTTTGTCCCCCAGCCTCAGCCCCGCCGACCGACCGCACGTTTCGCTTTGCTTGCTTCATCCCGTCTTGCCCCCGGACCACTGCCAGTCAGCCAGCTCGCTCCTCTCCTCTCCTTTCCCTTCTGCCTCGACCATCGACCATCGACTACCGCCTCGTCATCCCAGCATACCCACCACCGCTTGTCTCTTCTCCCAGCTGTCCATCCGGCCGTGCAGCCTACATACATAAGCCTGCCTGCATCCTGCATCCTTTGACCGAACCCTGCCTGCAGCTCTCTCTGGAAATTCCCGCCGCCGCCCGCCTGCCCGCCGCGAGCACCGGCCATCGTCGCGAGCGTCCACCACGACGTAGTCACATCGCATCCCGTCGCATGATCACACCGCATCGTCGAGCCAGGTAGCCTAAGAACGGTGCCTGCCGCCCATAGCCCTTGCTTGCCATCGGTCGTCACCCTCGTCATCGCAAAACCATCGTGCGTCTTCCAGCAGCACCTACCCGGACGCCAACAGCAGCCTCGTCCTGGGCCCGGCACCGTCCCGTCCCCAACCCATCAGCCTCCTCTGCCACCGCTTCCTGCCTCAATCCGTCGCCAACGCACGCCCACACAGCAGTCTGCCGTCAACTGATTGCAGCCCTCTTTGACCCCCCGCTGGTAGCCCTTCGATCGGTAAGTGGACCTGGCTGGCCCGTCATGCTGAGGGGGCGACCCAGCAGCAAAACTTTTTGCCTCCCTGCCTGCGCTCGCCATCGTCCCCTGCCTCCACTGACACCTGCCCCTCATCACTCGACCTTCTATCCCCACCCTCGCCCCATGCCACCGCTCACCACAACGCTGCTCCCACGCCCATGATGGCGGCATCCCGATACAGCTTCGATCCACCCTCGCCGTCGCCGTCGCCGCGCGGTCTCAGCTCTGTCCGCCACCGGGCATCGCATACCACGACATCATCTCCACCTTCCCCTCCAGGCCTGATCCCTCGCCCCACTCTTGAGCCAGAACCGAGTCCGCACCGACGTGCTCTCGATCACGACGTCGCCCTCGCCACCATGTCGGCCACCTCGGCCGTTCCTACGCCGGCGAGCTCACCGAACAAGCCAAGGCCGAAGGGCAAGGACGCAGCGGCTACCACCACGGCCGCGACCACTTCCCAACCAGGTCCAGTGCCTAGCATGACCGCGGCCATTGTAGGCGCCCGCTCGCCGGCAAAGAAGCCCCGGGCGTCGCCGTCGAAGCGCTCCAAGGTCGGCGCCTCGATGTCGGCGTCGCCGATCGCCTCGACCTCGCAGCTCACTTTGCAGTCCAACGAGCCGCACGCCGCCCTCGACCTCGCCCACATCCTCTCGACGCCGCGGCGAGGCCGTCGCGTGGGCCGCATCGACATGGGCTGGGAGTCGCCGCTCGCCGACGCCGACCGAGACGGACCGACGCTCAGCTGCCCCCACACCCTGCCCAAAGCGAGCCGGGTCCGCAAAGCCTTCTACGACCAGGACGACCTGCCCGAGACGCCTTCGAAGAGGAAAGCCTCGAGGGCCTTTGCCAAAGACTCGACAAGGCCGCAGAGGTCGCTCGTCGACACGCACGGCTGGGCGTCGGCGGCCATGGTCAGCAAGGTGCCCCTTCCCGACTTCAGTGCTTCTCCGGGCTTCTCGCCGCGGCCCGCAACGACGACACCCAAGGGAACAGGCGCACCTGCCTCCGACGACAGATTGGACGCCGAGGGTCTGTGGTCGCATTTCGAGTCGCCCGCCGCACCGACAACGCCTCGGCTGGTACCGCTCGAGGTGGCTGGCCTCGGTCGGGTCGCCGTCCACCGCGAATTTGCAGGTCAGATTGCGGAGCAGGCACCGTACAACAACAGCAGCAAGCCGTCGACGGCCATCCGCAGGCACGGCTCATTCTGCTCAGACTACGCCTCTGGCGTCTCTGACGCATCGGGCACCGGCTCCTCGCTGGGCACGTCGACCAACCCGACCTCGGTGGGCACGCCTTGTCCCAGCGGCGTCTCGCCCAGCTTCTCGCTCTGCTCCCAGTTCCCGCCATCGGAGCCCGAGTCGCCCTACAAGCAGGCAAACGCCAAGCAGGTCGCCGCGCAAAAGGAGTCGCAGGCGCAAGCGCAAGCGCACGCGCACGGCTCATTCTCGATCAGCCCGTCGTCGAAGGCGGTATCAGTCATTGCCACCGCCAGCCTGCTCGACAATGCCCTCTACCGGCCAAAACTCGGGGGCAGCCACAGCGTACTGCAGGCGGGCCTGCCGACGCTCGAATGGCCCGACGGCCCCGACGGCCCGTGGGCCGCTGCCGGGCAGCACATCGACCACCTCAAGCAGCAGCGCAAGGAGGGCGTGCAAAAGTGGCTCGAGACGGACCTCGACGAGGAGTCGGCCGCCGGCACCTTGGAGGCCGCCGGCAGCAAGCACGTCCACCATCCGATGGTGGCCAAGGCGCTCCTCGACCGCGCCCGCAAGCAGGGCCGGCAGATCCTCGCGGCCGTGTCGGCATCGCAGACCAGCCCGACGAAGCGATCGCGCGGCTCCAAGCACAAGAAGAAGGCGAGCCGCGGCGGCAGCAACGCCACGCCTTCGCGTCGCAAACAAGAGCCGCTCGGGACCGCCTCGAGCGTCACCGATACGCCGTCGTCGCGCCGGTCCGTGGCCACGGCCGCATCGCTCGCCCGGTCCGACCACAGCGCCATCCGAGGCTGCAAGTGCGGCATCGAGGACGAGTCGGTCGTCATGGTCCAGTGCGACCACTGCCGCAGGTGGCTGCACCTGCCATGCGTCGGCATCGCCGACATCGACGAGCTCGACGACGAGTGGTACTGCGACGAGTGCTGCGAGCGCGCCATCAACGACCACCTCTCGCCCGCCTCTTCGCTGCCCGCGACCATCACCTCGTTCGCCGACCTGAGCACGCCCGAGGGCCTCCAGGCCGCCATCAACATGTGCGAGCCCGTGTTTGCCCTGCCGAGCGGCACGCCGATCCACCGCCGGGGCGTCGCGCTGTCGTCGTCGATCGCCCTGGCGCCCAGCCCGCCGATGCTCTCGGTCGGGCAGCAGGTGCGACCCACGAGCTCGTCGCGCCGCCAGGTTACGGGTCGATCCAGGGCCGAGCGCGTCGGCTGGACCATGAACGAGCCA